AAAAAAGTACAGACTTCCAATTGTAAAATAAATAAGTAACTGGGATGTAATGTATAGCATAAGGAATATAGTCAAAATATTGTAACAACTTTGTATGGTGATAGCTGGTAGCTAGAATTATCATGTATATAAATGTTGAATCACTGTGTTGTACACCTGAAACTAATGTAATACTGTGTGTAAACTACCCTTTAATTAAAAAAAAATGCCATTGGTATTTTGATAGGGATTGCATTGAATCTGTAAATTGCTTTGGGCAGGATAGCCATTATGAAAATATTAACTGTTTCTATCCATGAGTATGGAATATCTTTCCATTTATTTGTATCTTCTTCAATTTCTTTCATCAATGTCTTATAGAATACAGGTCTTTTACCTCTTGGGTTAGATTTGTTCCTAGGTGTTTTATTCTTTTTAATTCAATTGTAAATGGGATTGTTTTCTTGATTTCTTTCCATTAGTTTGTTATTAGTAGATAGAAATGCAACATATTTCTGTCTATTCATTTTGTATCCTAGATTTTTTAATAATCAAAATAAAGCTATTAAAATTGTTTCCACAGGACTTGGAAATAGGGGTACTTCATATTTAAGTAAAGGATCAGAAGAGGTGAGTATCTCCTGGATAGAGAAATGGAAGCAAAGGGTTTTACAAGATCAGTGTTAGGCTCTTATATACATTGAAACCTCCAGACTTACAAATAATCCAAAGCTCTTCCAGGTAAGAAAACACTAAGCTTAAATTGGATTGAAATACAGGGAGGTGTGTGAGTTTAAGTGCACAGTAATAGTAATAGTGACAGATAATAGTGGAGAGACACATCAGTGTGAACAAGGGTAAGGTAATGCCTTAAGGTACAGAATTCAAACTGTACTTAGGGAAAAACATACTGAGTTATCAGAGTCCAGTGAGATTTTTCATATTCTAATGACCATGGTAGAGTATACCTATGGTAAAATACTATGCAAATATTAGTATTAGTATTATTAGAATAAACCTAAGACCCATAGGCTCTGAGTCAAACACAAAAGCCCATTAAAATGGCCACAACTCTTCAAAAATAATAGATAAAATGAAGAAAATATGGATAAGGAAAATCAGAGGATGATGATTTGTACCTTTAACCTAGAATGGTGAAAGCTGAGTATACAAAATGAGAACATCAATAAAACCATTTAGAGTGTATAATGTAAATATAGGCTTGGTGCACATTCTATAATACAGGTGTTATGTGTCTATAGAATCTTTTAAAAGGAAGCACTGTACTATACAAAGAGTATGGTAAGCCTAAGTTTCAATAGGTGATCCAATCCCAAACCAAGAACATGCTTAAAAGTTGAGTTCAGTCCTTCGTGGTACATTCTCAACAAATGTTAGCCATCATCTTTACTGCCAACCCCAACATCTGAGGGCAACCCAGTTTTCCCAATGATAACCAGAGATAAGTTGAAACTGGACTCATCACATAGGCAACTCTGTATGTTTATTCTTCAATTCTCAGGATCATATTTTTGTTTTATTACTGAAAAAAATAAAATGGCACAATTCCACTACACTTCCCAAATGCTTATCTTTTATGTACCTAAGTATAATTATCTCCTAGTTAGATTTTTACTGATTTTTTTAAGTTATGTTTTTCTTTAAGCTCTTTAAGAATCTTTCCCATGAGAAGACAGTGTAGCACAGAGAAGACAAGTAGTGACTCTGTGGCATCTTACTACACTGATGGACAGTGACTGCAGTGGGGTATGGGGGTGGGACTCGATAATAAGGGTGAATGTAGTAACTACATTGTTTATCATGTGAAATCTTCATAAGAGTGTGTATCAATAATACCTTAATAAAAAAAATCTTTCCCATGAACATTTTCTGAGTAAGTCTAAATTTGATAAATATTTTACATGATAATAATGATGCTGTTGATGATGATGATGACATTCCTAGGGAAAAAAGTTGTTTCCATCCTAGCAGTTCATCAAACTAGGCTGGACAACAGAACTGTTCATTTACCAATAAGTTCTTGTTAAGAGATCAGTATTTATATCCAATTGTTCTGAGAACTCTTATTTTAATACTTTTTATTTCTCCAGCTCATTCTGAGCCTTCTTTCTTACTTGCCTCACTATTGTTTAGCTTTAAAATACAATTTTTAAAAGGCCAGGAAAATGGTCTTATGGACAATTACTATCTTTTATAACAAGTACAGGCTAGCAAAAGCCCAGTTCACCGAGTCTGTTAACAACTAGTGATACGCACATTCACCAATTTCTAAGCTGCTCCTGCATTGCCTGAGTGGCATGCAACTATAGCTTAAGGGCTACATTGAAAAAAATTCCACTTTTTTCTCTCCTTAGCAATTTCACTTGCACAAAATCTATCTAATGGTTGGTCTATCAGCAGCATATGAAATTTTATGACAGCAATTTTCTCCACATCCAGAAAAGGGAATCCAAGACATGAAAAATGCCTTGTAAGGCCTTCCTATTATTTTCTGTTGCATTCATAGGACTCAAACAGCAGAAAATAATATCCATAAGGCATGTTAACTTTACCTTGAGATAGTATGTTATCATTGTCCAATTAAGTAGAAATGAATCAGGGGTAACTGATAAACAAGAAGATAACCCCCCCTGGAGAAGGGAATGTGTTTGTGCCCTTGGTGAAGGAAATTATCTATAAAACTACTTGGTTCAGGCAGATTAATGTATAGGCACTGATTAGCTAAGTAAGAGTCTACAGCAAAGAAAAAAAAGATGTCATTATGATGATATGTAACCACACTCTGCAGCAGAAAAATTTAAATTATATCTTTGAAGAGAAAAAAATGTTAACACTATCACTTTTCTTAACACCAAATTCCAACTCAGAAGGCAGCAAATACCATATGGACCATGTAATAATAGATTACATATATTATGTTTGACTTGTGTTGCCTAGAAAGTCTTGCCAGTATGATCACTCATTTAAATAGTTGCATTTTCAATTAAAAACTAAGGCTCAGAATTTTTATGTTATGATTCTAATCATCTAGTCATAAAACAATGATCAAGAAATTGGTGAATAGGTTTATACTTTATGCAACAAGCAGTGATGTGTTGACCATCTGAGTTACAGCTATGATCACATCATTTAATTTCTACTGCCTGTGTATTCCATCTCAAAGAACTGTGAAAATGCAACTACTATGATGGCAATGTTTAGAAATGATCTGGAATAGGTAGGGTATACCAAAATCTTCAATATGACTATAAAACTAATGTTGCATTGACATAAGAATGTTCATTTTACCAAGCAGCAGAACAATGGCCACTAACTTTTCAGAACACCTCTTAGACAATTCACTTTAATTCAATTTAACAAACATATATTTAGCACTGACTAGATACATACTATTTTACCAGATACCAAGGATGCAAAGATGAATAATATAAGATCTCTCTTCTTCATGGAATTTCAAGCAAGGAAAACAGGTACAATACACATAATACAATAGCTGTGTTACAATAATATAATCTAGTTTTAATAAGTGCTATGAGAACACAAAGAAGTGAAAATTAATTCTATCAAATATACACTTGTACAAACCTTACAGATAAAGTATTCTTATTTTATTATATCATTTTTCTTTCAACATTACTGTTATGCATACATTTTTGTATATTGCCTTAAATCCTCTGTGAAGTGTGGGAACACATATACTAGAGAGTGTAGTAACTGCTGGAATAGAGTAGGAGCTAGGGAAATCATAGGTGTTAATGTTTCAGTTGGGTTAATGTTGAGTGCCCAGGAGAGAGGTTAGCACAGAGAACATTCTAGGCAGAAAGAACTGCATGAGCAAAGACCCAGAGGCATGTGATACAGGGCGTCTAAGTCATAAGGAGTGGCCTAGAGCACAGTGTAGGCATATGAGAATACACTTCCAGTTCCAGACTGGGAATAAATGCTGGAGCCAGGTCATGAAACACTTCCTATGTCACGCCATACTTGGATGCTCTGACGTTTTTCTATAGCAAGGGAGAATTATCAGAGGTTGCTGATCGCTAAAGAATTATGATTATATTTGTGATTTAGAAAGACAACCCTGACAGCTGTGTGAAGGACGAACAAAGGCAGGGAGAACAGTCAGAAAGACATTATAGAACAGGGGTCATAAGGAGAAATGATACAAGTGAAGAGAAATAAAAGAATAGGTAAGGACACGTCAAGGAAGAAATGAACAGGACATCGGATTTGACTGAATCTTGAGAGTGGAACAGAAGCAAGAACAAGACTATGTTTTCAGTGGCATTATGAGAATCAGGAACTACAGAGTACTCCCTGAATCCTAGGCTGAACCTCTATCTAGTTACTGCCCCTTCCTCACATATATCCTGTCCATAGGGTGGCTCTAGTGCCAGATCCCAGTACCTCTCTCTATCCACTGGGCTATAATTGAATCTCTTGAGAAAATGAGAAGACACTTTTGGTTTATCAGAGGTGTTAAGGCAAGTATTTCATTTTGCTCAGGTCATACAGTGCATTGTAGCATTTACAGATCAATGAAAAGTAAAACTAAAAGTTATAAATTTATAGTATTAAAAAAATATCTAATGGATTTACTGACAACTAATAAGAGAGTTTTTAGAATGACTTCCCAACTGTTTTTCAGTTGTTTTTTAAAAATTGTATCATTTACTTCTAATTTAACATCTATATAATTCTACTATTAGAGTCCATCCATTCATTTTAAACTGTATATTTAGCAGGCTACTTACAGAATATACATTATGACACCTATGCTCCAAATGTCACACTGCTGGCTGTAGTAATGGGCATTGATAACTTCAGGGGCTGCCAAAGAAGCAGAAATAAAATAATATTAATAATACAATAGATAACTTCTAAATGCGTAAACACAAAGCATGAAAAATGTGCCGATGTGTTGTAATCTATTCCCACACAGGGAAAAAGAAAACCAACAGCAGGTGTTAAATGAATAATGTACAGGCCTTAACAGCTGATGTCACCATAGCCTCACTCCTGTTATTTAGCTTCTATGGAATGATGGCACAGACCATGTAACTAAATGTACTGCTCCTCATTCCTCTGAAATTGTTAAGAAATTATTTTACAAAGATTGTATAGTTATACAGAAGCCAACATCGCAGTTCTTTTCCAAAAGTAGAATTGAGCATATGTCTTAAGTGGATATAATTTAAAGACAGCCCAATATGTGGAAATCTGATTTTAAAAAACTAAGATAAATGGCTATAAATCAGTTTAGTAAAATAATAACAATATCACAGTATTCTTCAGACGGAATATGAATTACACATTTTCTAAATGAGAAAACTAAGAGAACCCCTACAACAAATGGATCAAGAAGCCAGTTAGGACTAGGATCCAGGAATTCCTGATGCCCCATCTCTGTGCTCTGTGCCTTACAACGTGGTCACAATAGGCTTCTGTTAAACAATGTTCTCAGTGTAAAACTTTTTTCTACTTTAATGATTAGATTTTTTTTATAATGATGGTTTTTTTTAAAGTCACATATGATATTTCAGGAATATGTCTATTGTATCTCTGCAGGTAGGGATCAAGTATCTTTCTTTAAGGAAAAAGGAAGAATAAAATAGTTATAAACATAAAAATAAAATATGTGTACATTTCAATAGAACTTCAATATTTATAAATCTTTAAAACATAAAAATATATTGTAAATTATTTGTATAAATTATGTTAAGAATCACTCACTTCACCAGTGAGGAAACTAAACTTCAGATATGTTAAGTATCTTGCCTAACACTGCACAGCTACAGAGAACCTCCCATGTAAAAGGTGTTTTTACTTTAGAAAACATTTTTGATCTCACACACACACACACACACACACACACACACACACACACACACACACACACACCTTTTATAACTATTGAAAGCAAATGGAATTTCCTCTGCCTACTATTAAAGGAATTAAAAAGCAAAAAAAGGAGTCAAAAGATAAACAGAAGAATGAGAAAAGGCTCAACTATAGATAACAAATTAAGTCATTCATCTGCAAATCATTAAAAATTAACTAATTCATGTTTTCCTTTAAACAACTACTTGTTTTCTTTAACTCTACTTAATCTCCTCAAATACAGAATCATTAAGGTTCAAGTCGCTCTAGGGCTGTGTCTATGACAAGGGCAAATCCTCTATCAGGTCCCACGAAGGACCTCATGTTAGATGCATCACACAACAGAGCCTCGGGACTCCAGGTCCTCACTCTGAGTCATCTTAAGCATCAGGGGTATTTCTACTTGTGCTGTCACTGCAGCTCTCATAGGCAGGCAGAGGCCAGAATAACTGTGCCAAGGAACAATTTAGGAAGTCAGCAAAGCTCTACAAACCATCTGTCTTCTCTCTTGTTCTCTCACTTGTTATCAGCGTAGACAACAACTAATAAGCAGGCATAAAACTCAGGGTGCTTGGATATATTTTCCCCATGTAACTACAGACCAGATGTCTCTTGCCAAGAGGAGGGCATGAACAGAATCTAAAATAACCTTTCTCCAAGTAAGATAAAACAATTTTGAAACTTTATGTATCAAGTAGGTAAAAAAACAAGGAGCTAGGCATATTCCTCAGCAATAAAAATGAAAAAACTACTGATACAACAACATGGGAAAGTCTCAAAATGATTACATGGAATAAACAGGAGACAGACACAGAAAAATATAATACTGTATGATTCAATTTACATAAAATTCTAGACAAACAAAACTAAGCTATGGTGATAAAACCCATCCGTGGTTGCTGGAGTCTGGATGGAAGACTGACTAAGAAGGACACATAGGAACTTTCTGGGGAGATAGAAATGTTCTGTATCTTCATTGGTGTGGTGATTATTCAAGTATTTGCATTTGTCAAAATTAATTGTATGTAAACTATATTTCCATAAAATCAATTTTTAAAGAACTCTAAAAGTACAAAAACAACTTGGCAAAATCCTATCTTGGTGGATAGCTTTAATTACTCTGTCTTAGAAACTGACAGAAGCAAGCAACCAACATGCAAAGTTTGAATCAGGAAGATATCACATTTGATTTTATAAACACATAAAAATGTGTATGTTCAACAAACCAGGAATATACATACACTCTAAATATCTAATGCAACATTTGCGAAAACCAATCATGTAGTTAATCAGAAAGAAATTCCTGACAGCTGAAAATCTCTAAGTTACAATTGCCTAGTTCAATGAAAAAAACCAGAAAGAAAAACCAGAAGGCTAGGAAAATTAACACACATTCACATGAGCATCATACCCATTCCAACCACATGGAAAACTCTAAACGTACTTATTTATAAATAACTAATAGATTAAAGAAGACTAAAATTAAAATTATAAACTTTTAAGAAATGAATAAAAACTAGAACACTGTATAGCAAAAGAAACAGTTAAAGAAGTACTCAGGAAAAAATATGACACAGGATGAAACAAAAAATCTAAACAGACCAATTACCAGCAATGAAATTGAATCAGTAATCAAAAAACTACCCGTGAACAAAATCCTGGACCAGATGGATTCACTGCTGAATTTTATCAGACATTTAGAGAAGACATAATAGCCATTCTCCTTAAAGTTTTCCAAAAAATAGAAAAGGAGGGACTACTTCCAAACTCATTCTACGAAGCCAGCATTACTTTAATACCAAAACCAGGCAAAGATACCACACAAAAAAGAAAACTACAGACCAATATCCCTGATGAACACAGATGCAAAAATACTCAACAAAATATTAGCAAACCAAATTCAAAAATACACCAAGAGGATCATACACCATGATCAAGTGGGATTCATTCCAGGGATGCAAGGATGGTACAACATTCGAAAATCCATCAACATCATCCACCACATCAAGAAAAAGAAGGACAAAAACCACATGATCATCTTCATAGATGCTGAAAAAGCACTCGACAAATTCAACATCCATTCCTGATAAAAACTCTCAACAAAATGGGTATAGAGTGCAAGTAACTCAACATAATAAATGCTATATATGACAAACCCACAGCCAATATCATACTTAACACTGAGAAGCTGAAAGCTTTTTCTCTAAGATCAGGAACAAGACAAGGATGCCCACTCTCCCCGCTTCTATTCAACATAGTACTGGAGGTCCTAGCCAGGGAAATCAGACAAAACAAAGAAATAAAAGGCATCCAATTGATAAAGAAGAACTCATCTGTCACTGTTTGCAGATGAAATGATATTGTACATAAAAAACCCTAAAGAATCCACTCCAAAACTACTAGATCTAATATCGGAATACATCAAAGTTGCAGGATACAAAATTAATACACAGAAATCTGTTGCATTGCTATACACTAACGATGAACTATCAGAAAGAGAAATCAGGAAAACAATTCCATTCACAATTGCATCAAAAAGAATAAAATATCTAGGAATAAACCTAACCAAGGAAGTGAAAGACCTATACCCTGAAAACTACAAGACACTCTTAAGAGAAATTAAAGAGGGCACTAATAAATGGAAATTCATCCCATCCTCTTGGGTAGGAAGAATTAATATTGTCAAAATGGCCATCCTGCCTAAAGCAATCCACAGATTCAATGCTATCCCTGTCAAAATACCAACAGCATTCTTCAACAAACTGGAATAAATAGTTCTAAAACTCATACAGAAACACAAAAGACCCCAAATAGCCAAAGCAATCCTGAGAAGGAAAAATAAAGCAGGGGAGGATCTTGCTTCCCAACTTCAAGCTCTACTACAAAGCCACAATAATTAAGACAATTTGGTACTGGCACAAGAACAGACCCATAGACCAGTGGAACAGAATAGAGAGTCCAGATATTAGCTCAAGTATATATGGTCAATTAATATACAAATAAAGGAGCCATTGGATATGCAATGGGGAAATGACAGCCTCTTCATCAGCTGGTATTGGCAAAACTGGACAACTACATGTACGAGAATGAAACTGGATTATTGCCTAACCTCATACACAAAAGTAAACTCGAAATGGATCAAAGACCTGAATAATGTAAGTCATGAAACCATAAAAATCTTAGAAGACAACATAGGCAAAACTCTCTTGAATATAAACATGAGCAACTTCTTTATGAACATATCTCCACGGGCAAGGGAAATAAAAGCGAAAGTGAAGAAGTGGGACTATATCAAACTAAAAAGCTTCTGTATAGCAAAGGACACCATCAGTAAAACAAAAAGTCATCCTACAGTATTGGAGAATATATTCATAAATGACATATCCAATAAGGGGTTGACATCCAAAATATACAAAGAGCTCACGCACCTCAACAAACAAAAAGCAAATAATCCAATTAAAAAATGGGCAGAGGATCTGAACAGACATTCTCCAAAGAAGAAATTCAGATGGCCAACAGGCACATGAAAAGATGCTCCACATCACTAATCATCAAAGAAATGCAAATTTAAAACACAGTAAGACATCAATTTACACCAGTTAGGATGGACACCATCCAAAAGACAAACACCAACAAATGTTGGTGAGGATGTGGAAAAAAGGGAACCTCCTATGCTGCTCATGATAATGTAAATAAGTTCAACCATTGTGGAAAGCAATATGGAGGTTCCTCAAAAAACTAAAAATAGAAATACCATTTGACCCAGGAATTCTACTCCTAGGAATTTACCCTAAGAATGCAGAAGCCCAGTTTGAAAAAGACAGATGCACCCCTATGTTTATTGCTGCACTATTTACAACAGCCAAGAAATGGAAGCAACCTAAGCGTCCATCAGTAGATGAATGGATAAAGAAGATGTGGTACATATACACAATGGAATATTTTTCAGTCATAAGAAGAAATCAGATCCTACCATTTGCAACAGCATGGATGGAGCTTGAGAGTATTATGCTCAGTGAAATAAGCCAGCCAGAGAAAGACAAGTACCAAATGATTTCACTCATCTGTGAAGTATAAGAACAAAACAAAAACCGAAGGAACAAAATAGCAGCAGACTCACAGAACCCAAGAATGGACTAAAAGTTACCAAAGGGAAAGGCACTGGGGAGGATGGGTTGGAAGGGAGAGATAAGGTGAAAAAGGGGCATTACGATTAGCACACATAATGTAGGCAGAGGGCACAGGGAAGGCAGTGCAGCACAGGGAAGACAAGTAGTGATTCTATAGCATTTTACTATGCTGATATGCAGTGCTGTTTTGGGGTATGTGGTGGGGACTTGATAATGGGGGGAATCTAGTAACCACAATGTTGCTCATGTAATTGTATGTTAATGATACAAAAAAAAAAGATGTTCTCAGGGGGAAAGTATGTAATACAGTCTTAAATGTATTTGTTAGAAAACATTTAGCTTAGGAAATTAAAAAATAAACCAAAAGTGAGTAGAAAGAAGAAATTCAGAAAGATAAAAGCAGAAATTAATGTAAAAACAAACCAATTAACATGAGACTTGAACTGGTTCTTGTCTTAGCCACTAACAAATTTGATCAAGAAGAAAATGATTACTATTAATATAACAGCTAAAATTGGGCATCATGTTCCAGGTACTGTGCTAAGTACTGTAAATATATTTTCTCATTTAATTCTCATGTCAACCTAATAGGAAAAGATACTATTACCATCCTAAATACATCCTTTCCCCTTCCTGTTTTATTTTCTTCCTTAGTACTTCTCTCTAACATACCAGGTAATACCATGTATCTTACTTTTTCATCTCATTCAATGTTTGTGCTAAGAGGACATTTTTATATTTTGTTCACTGCTGTCTTATCAATACCTAGGCTGGTGTCTGACATGAAGTGGACCCTCAAAATTTTTTTGACAAGTGAGTGACATAATCCCTGCTATACAGATGTAGAAATTGCAACAAAACAGTTAGTTGCCCAGGATTAACCAGATGGTAAGTAGCAGAACTAGAATCATGAGTTAGCCAGGTGATATCAGAGGCCATATTGCGAATATTACACCAAATTACCTTTTTAAAAAATGTTATTAATTATTAGTGTTAATATTAGTTATTATAATGATCACAGATACACAGGAGAATATGAAAATTACAAATGAATAAATATGCATATTTATGCCAATAAAACTTTGAAATCTCAATGTAATGAATGTTTTTCTAAAAAAATATAAATAATCGAAATGATTCAAAAAGATGTGGAAAACTTGGATAACACAGTATAAATTGGAAATAGAACAGAAAATTCATCCCCCAAAGATCAGAAGGACCAAAAAAATTTAAGGGGCAATTTCATCAAACTACTAAAGGACAGATCATTTCTATTACTTGCATGGCTCATGAGCACATAAAAAGTGAAATATTTTATTTGTTAAATGAGGCTAGCATGATCCTAACATCAAAAAAAGGTAAGAGCAGAACAAAAGAGAAAGCTATACTAAAGTTCCTAAATAAAGTGATGATAAATTGAATTCAACAGTATATTAAACCAAGTGGGGTTTAATACAAAAGTGCAAGGATAGTTAAACATTTTAAAAATCTATTAATGTAATTATTTTGTTAATACATTTGAAAAGAAGAAAATATACAACGATCACAATAGATACAGGTTTGAACAGACATTTCATCAAACAAGAGAATGCTAAGAATTACATGAAAAGATGCTTACCATCACTACTCACTAGGGTGATGCAAATTAAAAACCACAATGAGATACAACTTCACGCCACTACAATGGCTATAGTTAAAAGGAGAGGTAATATCAAATGTCAGTGAGGATGTCAAGAACCTGGAACCCTCATACATTGTTAGTGGGCAGGTAAAATGTGACAGCCACTTTGGAAAATCATTTGGCAGTTTCTTAAAAAGTTAAACATAAATGATATATGACCCAGAAATTTCACTTCTAAGTAGGTGCCCAAGGAAAATGAAAACATATGTCTATATAAAAACTTGTGCTCGAATGTTCATAGCAGCATTATTTATAATAGCTCCAAACTGGAAACAGTCCCTATGTCCATTAGCAACAAATGGATAAAATAAACAAAATGTGTAAAATGTATACAAAATGTGTCCATTAACCTGTTCAGCAAAAAGGAACAGACTACACATTCATGCTACTACAGGGATGAACCTGAAAAACATGCTAAGTGAAAGAAAGCAGATGTAAAAGACTGACTACATGTTGCATGATTTCATTTATGTGAAACGTCCAGAAAAGGCAAATCTAGAGAGAGAAAAAGATTAGTGGTTACAGGGGCTGGGATGGGAAAGTGGTTGAATGCAAATGGGCATGAGACTACTTTTTGAGGTAGAATTGTTCTAATTGTTAGAATGTGGTGATAGTTGCAGAACTCTGTGAATGTATAAAAAAAATCATTGAATAGTACTTTTTTATGGTATTTAAACTATACTTTGGTAAAATGTTCAAATCACATGTGGATAAAATGAATGTTCCTGTGGCCAGGATTCTCACCTGGCCCTGGTTGGCTAGCTCACTACACAGGTGTGGGCAATACATTATTGACTGTATATAAAGAGCTCTGCCCAGTGCTGTGGGCAACATGGTGGCATGGCTGTAAGGCTGCAGGAGAGCAGAACAGAGGATCAAGTGGTGGCAGCGCCGAGGACAGAGGCCCAAAGGATGGCTGTGTGGGCAGAAGGGCCCACAGGCAGAGGCCAGCTTGCTGTGTGCAGACTCATTCTGAGTGGACAGGATTTTAGTGATTGATCTGCCACCGTGGAAATAAAGTTGGGCATAACTCTTTCACCCGAAGAACGTTTTACTGTCATTTCTTTGGTCACACTGAAAGCATAGTGAACTTGCTCGGGGTTGAAACCCATTGACAAGACATCACATTTAGAAAAACAGAAAACTGTCAGTACTTTGAGAAAAACTATTTGATGGCAACAAAATTGAATAAAAATGGAAAGAAGCAAAACACACACGTAATTTTAGCACAAATTAACAAAAATAATATTTTAGGATATAATTACATAAGAGATACAAACAACTAAAAGAAGAGCCCAGAAAAACAATAAAACTGTAATCTTTGAAGATAAGACGTATGAGAAAAATGCTGAAACAACTGAAATTATTTGACTTAAGAAAAAACTTGATGAGGGCCATTAAGTCATAACAGTAAACTTAAATTACTCAAATTTTAATCCACATCAGCTGTTCTGCTTTTATATAGAAAAATCATTTAAAATCTAACATACCCATATAGATAGGAGTGCCACATGTGGTCTGCATCATGGCCTCACTCCTACCTTGCTTCTTCACGGCTAAGCCAAAATCAGTCACCTAGAAGAATAAAGTCAGAGTCACCTGTTTTCCAGTCCCAGCATTCACTGTATCCAAAGATAGGATTTTCACCACACTGTAATTGCATTTAATTAAGGGGTTCTTGATGATGGAGGGGCTTTACCTGTATTACTAATAAGGACTTTGTTTTCCCTCCCCACTTATCCTCTTTGTGAAGAAGAAACTTGGTAACAAGAAGCTTGTTTACTCAAATCTTGAGAAAATAGCCATGATGTTGATTATTCATTCCTTTCAATTAAATTCACCAGTTCAAAATAGGAAGTTGTATCTCCAAAGAAGGCATTTACCTTTTTTCAAATAAAAGTTACTTTTAAAAAGTTCTTTCATTGTAAAATACATTCTGGCCTTAGTATGTTTATTATCTATTTTCCTGATACTCAAGCTAGGATCTAGTTTATAACACTGTTATAAATGCAAATCATTATCCTTGTCAGCACTCACAGAAGTTCCTACTTATATAATTATTTATAAAACACTATGATAAACACTACCTTTTTCTTTACTATTATTTCCTTTGTGTTTCTAGAGTATACTAATTGAAACAATTACTACACTATTAAAAACTACAAGAAGCAAATTAACAGGAAAAAAACCCTACAGTTCTAACTACAAATACACTGGAGGCCTATGGCTGCAACTGCAGTCTTTCTGCTCAGCTCTAACTCTTGGTCATTAAACATTTGGTTATTAAATATTTAGTATGTGCCCTTTGTCTTGCCTCCCAAGTTGGAACAGCCTTGGGCTGAAAGCAGAAAAACAGGCACATTTATTGATCATACAACCAAAGATGGGCTCTTGGTCCACAGACTGAATGCAAAGTTTCCAGTGCTTCCTAGAATTAAAAAAAGTTCCTATCAACATGTGATATCACCATTTTTCTAAAAAGACTAATCGATTTCACCAGAAATTTTCATACTCATTCTACTTGGAGCATTATGATACATATCTTTCTCCACAGAAAATCTATACAGATAACAAGTACACAAAAAGTTTCATGATCTAATTCAGTCCTTTGGAGAGGATTTATTCTTTTATTCACCAAATATTAATTGAGCACATACTATGTTTCAGGGACTACTCCAGGAACCAACAGTGAATAAGAAATAAATAAGTCCTGCCCTCATGGAGTTTACAATAAAATATTTAAGAACATTTACTCAGGGGACAAGAACAATGCTGTTAAACCTATTTATATTACACAAGAATTTAGCTTCTGCAACAGATCAAGTTGTTCACAGACATTTTATTTCTAAATGAACACATTCATATACTTTGAAAACAGCCACTATTAAAGTGCTAAATAATAAATAATATATCCTATCATTTATTTGATAGTAACACTTAATTTGAATAAAATCTTGTCACATTAGTTGTGCTCAGGACATAAATATTAATACCCAGGAAATTTTTCAGTGAGAAACACAGACTTTAGCATTAATTTAGTATCAAAGACACAGCCAAGGTGTGTCTTTTTCTAAATCTGTAAGACACATCAAATTACCAGGCATAATTTTGAAATTAATTAAAATTCAGAACATCTGTTTGCTTATAAGTAACTGATGATTTAGGGCTATTCAAATGAATATGTACTTAAAAAAATTCAATAGCACCACTTAACTTGTAAAATTATTGTCAGTTATAACCCCTTTTGTGAAATTTTAATTTTTTTATTTTCTAGCTGCTCCATAGCCTCCAAAATGTATCTAAGGGGGACGTACTTCACCATTTTGCTATCAAACTGCTTATAGGCAAGTATATACCACCATTTCTAATATCTTACCTTTATGTTTAAGTTCATTTCATTGTTAGCATCAATAAAGCTGCTCTTAACCATTATGTTTTCCAGTTTTAGATCTCTATGTACTATATCTACCAAGAAAACAAATGACAAATCAAATAAAATGAAGAATGGAAAAATGAAGAGGCAACAAATAGAACAAATGTATATGTATTTGGCAAATTAATGTTCACTGTTGAAAAATGTGAGGAAAGCCAAGCATAATCCTTCCCTGTTCCATTTCCTTCTACTCAGATCCCTCTTCTCTACATTTCTAACCTTCAGGAGCTGTTTTATTTCACTCCTTTGTCTCTCCCCAGGCCTCTGCTGCCCCAACTGGGCTGTTCTTCATTCATGATGATTGGCCTCATGAGTGTGGAAGAGGATATCCCGCCCAAGGTTAGGCATTTCCAGAAGGAAGGAGACAACTGTAGTTACAACCCCAATAGACTATCCCATATCCTTAGGTCTTCGAATAGAGGAATACTTCTTTATTTCTATGCACATGTCATTGTCGATATAAACATTTAACATACTGCAACTTGGCTGTAAGTATACAAACCGCACTTATTTCAGTGTATTTTTCTACATCAGCACATACTTTCCTACTCTTTAAACAAGCAAATACAAAACAAGAACCCTTGAGACACAAAGTCTCCAGTTGAACATGTCAGACCTCAGGTAGGATTTTTATGTACATGAAAATAATCATGTACCAAACACTTCTTTGCAAATAACTGATTTAGTTCAAATCCATAGCAATCATTTCTTTAGACTTAAAAAGTTATATGTATATATAATTGCTAGACAAACGTAGTTGAATGAGTTCTGGGACTGGCCATGACATCTAACCACTGACTGGCCTTACACAATTCTCAGCCTGTTTGGGGAATTTTTATTGTTTCTAGTGCTCTGCTTGTCTCTTCCTACATAAATACCACACAGCTTTAATTAATGTATCTTCATAATATGTTTTGATCATTGGCAGGGCAAGTCTCCCTGCTTCCCCTATTGTTCCTTTTCATTGTTTTCTTCACCATTCTCACCCTCTTCAGAATAATTTTATCAAATTCCATGAAAAATCCTGTTAAGGTTTTGTTTGGAATTATATTGAATATATAGCTCAATGTGGGAGAATTGAAATTAGCACAATATTAAGCCTTTGGTTTCCCACCCTTGTAAAAATTGTTTCCCTCTGCCTGGGAAGCCCTCCCTTTTTTTTGGTCTGATTTTGTCTTATTTCTCAGTTCAAGTTTTGCTTTCTCTGTGAATCCTTTCCTGGCTTTCCAAATCAAATGAGGCACTTATACTCCTATGCTAATTGCACTTTCTGTGGTTCTCCATTTGAGAAGTCATCGGGTTGAATTACAATTTGTTGTCTATTCTCATTCTCCCACCAGCCTGAATCTCTTGAGGGCAGGGGCCTCATCTGTTAGTCTCTGTAACTCGGGGACCCACCAGGAGGCAGCAGGTGCTCAAGAGCATCTGCTGAATGAACCCCTGGACTCCAGAACTAGCTCCGCTACCCCTAACCAGGGCACTTCACCTCTCGGGAACAAAGTTTTTCTCATCTGTAAAATGAGAAGATTCTAAAGTCACATGTAAGCCAAACTAACTTTGAAGGAAAAAGAACATGAGGGAAAGCAGCAGCTCTAACACCAAAGAATAGTAAAGCAATTAGAATAATTTTTAAATGTTGATTTTGAAGTAGTGAAACTATTGGGTATAATATTATAATGGTAAACACATGTCATTATGCATTTGTCAAAATCTACATAGTGGACACCAAGAGTGAACCCTAACAGAAACCTAACATAAACTATAGACTTTGGGTGATAATGGTGTGTCAGTGTAGCTTCATCAGTTGTCACAAATGTACCATCTGGTGGGAGATATTGATAACAGGGAGGCTGTGCTGGCATGGGCCAGGGTTTATGGGAAATCTCTGTAATTTCTGTGCAATTTTGCTGTGAACCTAAAACTACTCTATAAATTAAGTCTAAAAAAAAACCAAACGACAAATAAAAGACTATGATATATATTTTTAACAGTATTAATATATATTTTTTAAAATTTCACTTGTTATTGACCTACTTTTGATTTGATATTAGCTGCTTTTCAGACTGTTAAATAGAAGTGTTCATAACATCATCCTTATACATGTTCAACCTAATTGTATACCTGCCTTGTTTTGAGTTAAAATAAACTTCTAAAGTTTAAAAAGAAACAGTTTTAAAAAATTTTTAAGTAAGATCTTCTATATTAGTAGGCATTATTTCTGTTACTTTGAATCTTGAGCACAATTACTTTTAAACAAAATTACCCTTAAACACAAATATCTGCCTTGATGGAGTTAATGAGCTGGAGGATCCTCCTCTTACCCTTATTGTGAAGATAGGCTATAGCTGATGCGAGACTTTGAATGATCCACCTTGTCTCATTCTCTGAGAAATGCTCTTTCCTATCCAGAATTTCTTTGAGTTCTCCATCCTCACAAAGCTCCATTACAAGGTACATTTTCTGACATGTATTTAAAAAAGAGAAGGAGAGAGAGTGCAAATTATATAGTTGGGGATCTTTAAAATGTTATATATTGCACATATACAGTAGAAATACCACAATCTTAATCATTATTCTGTTCATTCAAAAATTTATTATCTGTCATGTATAATATAGGGTGCAGGACAGGATACTAGAGGGACAAGGCCCTTCACAGAATAATTTTTTCAAGTTTCATGTAAACTGGTAACTTGTGAACTTGTAAACTTGCAATAGGTGCTCAGCAAATATCTGCTGATTGAACCTATGGGTTCCAGCATTAGCTCTTTCACACCTGACCAAGTCACTTTACCTCTCTGGAACAAAGTTTCTTTTGTTCCAGAGAGTACTTAGAGCAATTTTTAAGTGTTAATTTTAAAGTAGTGTAACTATTGGGTATGATACAATAATGGTGAATATATATCATTATACGTTTGTCAAAATCCACATAATGTACACCACCAAGAGTGAACCTAAGACACAGTCTTTACCCTCAAGGAGCTCACAGTATAGTTCTAATCACAATAGAAGAGGATTGTTCAAAATACCATGAGGTTACTGATGAAGGGAGCCTCTGCCTAAACAATGTTCACTGAAGAGGCAATATTAAAGGTAGATCTGGGTGACTGACGAGGATTTGTGGGTAGAGAATGTGGACAAGAACAGGCATAATATCCTTCATGTAATTGTAGATTAATGATACCAAAATAAAATTTTAAAAAAAAGAACAGGCATAATACATGGTATCAGCAAAGACTCCAAGGTTTGAAACAGCACTGGCTATTAAGAGGATAACGAATATCTCAGTATATTTAATAGCACTGGGAGTTTGCTAGGGCAGAGAAAAATAGAACAGTGAGGGATGGGGCTAGATAGAACAGGTTGGTTCCAGGTTGTAAAAAGTCTTACAAAAGAGTTTGGATTTTTGCTATATGTAGTAAGGCACCACCGAAGGTTTTTAAATGAGCTGGTGTCTGCAGCTGGAGGAAAGGTGTGTGCTATCATCAATTTTGCATTTCTTTTTTTTTAAATATTTAAACAAAATTTTTTAAATTGAGGTAGAGTTGATACACAGTATTATATAGGTTTCATATGTACAACATAATGATTCAGCAGTTATCTACATTACTAAATGCTCACAAAAAAATCTCAATCTTCAAGTCAATCATCAACTTTCCTTAGATTTTTGAAGACATGAAAATAAAACTCATTTCAAGTAAGAGTGCTCAAAAACCTTATATATATGTTTGTAATGAGGTATAGCAATCAACTTTAAGCCTTAGATTTTCCAGGTTTTAGCTGAAACAACCCTCACTAGTTTCTCCCATCTTTATCAGTCTTGTTTGGGACCTGTTTTGCCTTATTGGGCTTAGACAGATGATTATACTGAGATTATGGTGTAAGTGGTCTTCTAACTCCTTAGGGACATGAGTGGAAACATAACACATCCTGTGAACATAGATGTATGTGCCCCTGGTTATCTCTGAGCTGGGCAGTTTCACACAATCATTTTTTCTCTGAGGCTGAAGTCTGTACTTTGATCTTCCTAGCAACTTCCAGAACAGAAATTGGCTTTGCTTTGTCTCCAAATTCTTTTTCTTGGTGCTCAAGAAGAATGCCCTCCTTTCCTGATCCCACCATAAAAACTCCCCCAAGGATGAAGCCTTCGCCTTCCAGGTTCCAGAGATGCCTCCATTCCAGGCCTGGAAGAAGTTGTACCAGACACCCAGACGGACAAATCCCAGAAACATCATCCTCCGCCTTTGGAGACCATAGAACTTTTTCTTTTCATCCAGGAAGATTTCTTCTTTGAAATAAGGCTGGAAGTCCTCCACTTCAGTCCTAATCTGCTCCTTCACCACTGCATAGAGGGGGACACCCAGCTCATCCAACTTGGGCTTCAGGGAGGACAGGTCCTCAGCCTCCTCTCGACATAGGAAACAGCCTGGCCTCCACACAGCCATAATCACAGCCCCACTCTTTTCCCAGAGCTCCTTTGCTTTGAAAGTCCTTGGTTCCTTCTCCAGAGTTTTCAGGTCTATATCCTCCAGATACTCCAGCGTTGCTTTCTGGGTCTTGGACAGAAACACGTCTGTGTTGGCCAGGAGCAGTGCTAAGGCAGCAGCCCCAAGAGCCCCCACACCAATGGACCACATTCCTATGGTGAAGAAACTTGTATCCTGGAGGAAAGACATGCCTGGGGACTGAGAGGAGGAAGATGTTACTGCTCCTATGATAGCTGGAATCTGATCTCTGTTCCAGGCTCTCGCTGGGCAGCCAACCGGGAGGCATCCACAGCATCTACACCTCTGCTTCTGCTGACGAAGAGCTCAATTTTGCATTTCTAAATGAACCACTCTAACAGGAATGTAGAACAGGGCTCAGCAAATTTTTACTGTAAAGGCCAGAGCCAGATAGTAAATATTTTTTCAGCTTTGTGGGCCATACAATCTCTTACAACTACTCATCAGCTGTTATAGCATAAGAGAAGCCATAAACAATGCAACAAAACTTTATTATAGACTTTGAAGTTTTAGTTTTATATACTTTCCACATGTCATAAAATATTACTCTTTACAAATTTTTCCAACCATTTCAATGTATAAAAAAGTTAGTTTATAGGACAAAGAAAATCGTGTATTATGGTGTAGTACACTGACCTCTGTAGAGGATAGATGTGAGACACAGAATGGAGACAAGAAAGGGAAGGAAAAAAGGGCGTGAAAAATACTTAGGAGGAAGAAACAGTGGCATTTAGTCACTAATTGGGTGTGAGTAGTAAAAAGCCATGGATGAAAGCCTCTTCCATATTTGTTGTTTCTCTTAATGTACATTAACATTGCTTTAGGTATTTCAACAGTCAAGTCATCTACTGAGCCAAAAAGATTCAGTCAGGCAAATGCAAGTCTTTTTCATACCTATTGCTATTCAGTTACAGATCACCCTCCATCCACATCTCTGTTCTGTTCTGTGCTGCTAGATTTTTGTTACCATTTTTAAGATTTGGGGGTCTGATTCTATTCTGTAACCACTACAATGCAATTTGTGTTCAATCAGCAAGCATGAAAATAAGAAGAAAAGGTTAACACTCTTTCTTCCTACACTCAAAATTTTGGTTTGCTAAAGCTCAGGATCCTTGAGAATTTCAGAAGTAACTAAAGAGTTCTGCAAAGCTTAATACATAAATAAGCTTCTGAATTAGGCCATATTTTTCCCACTGGTAACACTGGTATGGCTCACTGACACATAAACTGGTAAGTGAGCTATTTGGAAGGGAAAGTTACATTATCAGGGCTTACAATAGAAATTGATGTCAATTTCAAATATGTAAGTTGATCAAAGTTAGTATCTTTGAAAGTTTTTATATCCAAGCAGAACCCAGCAGTCTCCATGAACTGAAGAGAGAGAGATCTAGGAGTCCAGGAAGTTCAAGACAAGTAAGGTTCACAGGCCAGAGTACAAAAGAGAAAAATGCTGTACACAGAGAAAGCTCCAGATTTTGCAGAGGGGCCCCCTCAAGTTTTCAGCGGAGTATAATTCAGAGCATGCGTATGACAAAGTACCCAAAGCTGGAAAAGAACCATGCAGAAGGAGCAGAGGGAACAATTGCTGGAGCTTACACATGGCCAGGAAGAGTTCTATTCCCATTAGCCAGAGTGGAAAATCTCATAATTCAGAGGGCGTCAGGTAGAGTACTCAGAAGGGTCTTACCTCACTAGTGAGAAAAAATTAGCCCTAGACCAAAGGCTGCTTGGGTGCCACCTAACAAGGCTTAAGGTAAGCTTCAAAACTATCAAACTGTCTCCAAGTAACTTAACTATGTCGTAGAATAGCTCAAGAATAGTTGTAAGAATGCAAAAATATCCAGCATCCAATAAAAAATTAACAAGGCATATAAAGATGCAGGAAAATATGATCCATAATGAAGGAAAAAATCAATCGAAACTGGCCTCAAAATGACACAAGATTAGAAGAAGACATTACAAGTTATTATTCCTATATTTAAGAATGAAGAAGTATTGAGTATGTTACATAGAAACATGGAAGATAGAAAAGAACCAAACCAAACTTCCAATGGAAGGGATAAAGAGCACATCCGACAGCACAGAAAAGGAGATTATTGAATCTGAAGACATCGCAATGGAAACTATGCTAAATGAAACAAGGAGAGGAAAAGGACTGAAAAAATGAATAGAGCATCAGTAAGCTGCAGACAATAGCAACCAACCTAACATGTGTACTTGGAGTCTCAAAGTGGGAGATGGCAGAAAAAAATATTTGAAGAAATAATGGCCAAAATTTTCCTAAATTTGATGAAAACCAAAAAAATCATAGATCTAAGAGGTTCTATAAACCCCAAGCACAAGAAACATGAAGAAAACTATACCAAGGCACAACATAACAAAATTGCTTAAGACTAATGATAAGGAGAAAAACTATTCTAAGAAGATATGGGGATAAAAGAAATCACAACTTTAGGAATGAAAAGAATAGAAAAGATTTTTGGTATCACTGCCATTCCCTGCTCCCCTAAAGGATAATTGTGGTCTTTAATAGTTAGTAAGCATTCCTGATGAACCAGGAATAAATTGCATAACCCAAATTTGCTATTACTGCCCTAGAGACTGCAAAGGGAACAATGAACTATAAGTAACATTTAATGAGTCAGATGCTTTATACCCAGTTTCCCATTTAATCCTTCAACTACCTGAGGTTGATACTATTGTTAAACCCATTTTACAGGTGAGAAAACTGAGTTATAGAGAGGTTGAATAACTTGCACTGGTCTTATAGCTAAGTGGTGAAACCAGGATTCAAATGCACAGGCAATCTAAACCCAAAGACCACATGCCTATATTAGAGTACCTATGTTAAATTTCTGTATTATATACTATACTGTATATTATTATACACTATATTATACTGACTCCAAGCAGAGAAACACCCAAGCCCACAGACACTAAACAAAATGGAGGCAGAAATGACAAGTAACACAGGGTTCAGAACAATGCTGAATGAAAATTAGAGCCATTTAAAGAGACAAATGATAATATCCAGGGAAGAAGAAAGACCAAACATGTTGGTACGACACCAATGACAAAATATCTTCTACATAGTGCCAAATATTCCCATGCCAATTTTATTATAAAGGTAATCTTGCAAAATATGACAATATTTGAAGAGACTCTAATAGAGAAAAACCAAGGACCAACAAAAGGAAAGCCACCTCTAAGGAAATTTCTATCACTACTGGGCTGTGCATGAAGTTGTTTCAATTTTTAAACATTTGTTTTCAATATGCCACCCAGAAATATCACCAAAGACATCAATCTAATCATTAGACATCTAATTATACAATCAATAATAAAAGTCTTCCAGAATGCTCTCATCAATCTCCCGTGACAGACTCATGCCAAGGACATGAGCAAATGTGCCCTACAGGGGTTACTGCAGAAGGGAATGATGTTCATTTTGTAATAATAACTTTGCAGATGCAGCACCTGATCAAGCCTTACCTTAGGTGTCTCAAAAACTTGTTCCAGATGTATGATGTGTTCATGTTTCACACTTTTTAGGATGTTCACCTCCCGTTCAAGTAACTTCACAGCAGAGCTTCCAGCCTTTAAAATGAGGAAACACAAGAGTTCACGTATGAGTGTCACTACTACATGCCTCAATATAAAAGTCAGTTATTTTTATCCTTTCTCCCACATTTTCTTGAGAAGTTTGTTTTCAAATGATAACAAGAAGTATTTCCATGATAAGATTAAATTATGCCTCTTCTTTCCTCAGTTCAGTTTTAGTACATATAATTTGGCCTCAAACCACATCTGTTTCTTTGACTATTTCTATAAAGTACCTACAACATGGTCTCTGTCCTGTCACAAAATTATTCTAACTTTTAATATGCTTTTTGGTATCTCCTTCAAAATCATGTGAATCATTTGATGTTAGCATAATAAAAACAAAACCTACTTTCCAGGGACATCAATTGGGGAAGAAAAAAATGTTTTTCTTTTGCTTTGTTATCACTTTTTTATTGTATTTATATATATCAAAAGAAACAATAGGTGGTCAGATTCTATACTTAGCCCTTATATAGCATTATACATCACTTTCCTCCAGCCTCAAAAATGAAGAGAGAGATCAATCAATTGACTTAGTCTTCAGACCAACTTAAGTCCCACTTTATCTCCTCATGTGTAACCGTTACAATACCTGACAGCAAAAGGTAAAGGCGGGAACACCCCAGGGAGCACCAGGCCTTCAATCCAGGTTAAGTAATTGATTTTCTACAGTGCCACCTAAGACCTTCTGGAAGGGCTTTATCCACCCTAACCACTACTACCACCACCCCAATCATTACCCTAATTGACATCTAAATTACCATTCTTATTTGAAGATAAGCAATGTCCTCATCCATATAAAAATATTCCTGAAAAGTATTATCCCTCCATCTCTCCCCGCCCTCCTCCATCCCCAAGATTAGGAGAGTACATAATAGTTCTTTTAAGGATTGGAAAGGGATTAATCACAAGGCAAACTACCTAGTTAAACTTTTATCCAGGGTCATTCCTGCTACCAATTACCTTTACCCTTCAACCATTAGCATCTTGGGACATGAATTGAAAACTTTGCACCTCCTATGCCCCACCTATGCAAGATGAGAGCCACATTTTAAGTTTACCCAAGAGGCTCAAGAAAAATAGTGACTAAGGAGTGAATTCCTCCTCTTATGGAATATGGTAAGGATATAGGAAGTAACCACAATTTCTAATATCCATCTCAGTTTTCTTCTTATCTCTCTCTTCAAATGGCTTGACCTGTTCATAATGCAGTAATATATTGTCCAAATTATACACTGACTTTATAATTGTTATTATCTTGGTGTTTGTATACTCTCAGCATCAATATGTATGTGCAAGATTATGAATTCCTAAAGTTGCAAGCAGGTATCCTGACTAGATAACCCTAAAATCTAAACCCTAACTAACCCTACCTGACACCAAAGGGGCAAAGGAAATGTAGTACCATGGTTCTAGAATTCTGAAGGTTTCTATTAAGGTTCTGGATCTCCTATCACCAAGGGGTTTATGTGTTACTGTATTATACTTTAGGTAGAAATGGTATGTAATTTACTAGAGTTTGTTTTACAGAATACAGAAAATCAGTTTCATTTTGTAAATGTAATATCTATCACCACAAATCCAAGGAAAAAACACGATTATGTTGTCTTTTGTTTTTTTCCAGGCACAGAAATTTTTTTAAAGTTGACAAAATGATCAGGTGTAAAGTCTGAGGACACAGACTCTCTCTTAAAGAAAAGCCCCGTTCTTCCCTCCAGGAAAAATCTGCTAAGGAATACAGTGGATACAAGTACACAGTACAGTAGACAGTTGGGGTAAAAGTGGCTAAACTGAAAAAACAGGTAATGAATAACCAGAGAATTAGCTAACAAGGGAGAAATGGGGAATCAAAAGAAAGGAAGGGAAAGAAGAAATGTCTATCAGAACCACATGGGGAGAGAGTGCCAGGACTTAGCTCTAGCGAAGACATCTCTAGCTCTCAGGCCTACATCTACACATACTAATAATCAGCCCACTCATAAATTACATTTTTATAATTTCAACTCACTCTGTAAATTATATGTATATTTGGTTATATTGGTTAAGTTAGTTTAATCCTTTCACTTGCTTTCTTCAGATAGCACCTGTCTACTTGGGTTCAAGAACTGGTTCCTTCCCAGGAGACTAAAGAAATATCCACATCATCGTGGCTCTCAGGTCAGCTGTGTTACCCGACCCACTGTGCCTGCAGTCTGATGCTGCTAATGGGCCTTACCTTGTCTTTGTTCACTTTTTTAATTGCCCACTTAGTTTCTGTTTCCTTGTTTGTAGCTTCGATGACCATTCCAAAGCTCCCTTGTCCCAATATTCTTCCAAAGACATAGATTTTCTGGATAAAAATAAGAGTTCCTTTGTCTCTCTCTGCCATTCATCAGGCATCAGGAATGAACCCATAATACTAACATAACCACCCAAGGGAAGAGAGATTCTGCTCCAGGGTAAAATCAAAAAGAAGACACCACGTATTTGCTTCATTATTATTAAATACACCTTAATTAGCCAAAAATAAGTTTGATGAATTTCATTAAATGTCCCATAGAGGAAAACTATAAAAATCATAATGGATAAATGTGGCAAATTTCAAAATATAAAAATGAACCTCTTATAAACTACAACATTAATGAAAAAGGAGGAATGGAATATGAATACATACATACATATATGTGTGTGTGTGCAAAATATATTCACTTAAAAAGTTATCCCAGAACTCTGAGAACTATACTATAAAATCAACACATATTAACCGCTGAACAACTGCTTTCTTGTTTACCAAGTAACATTTCTTCTTCATCTGATTCTATAAAAAATAGAAATTTCTGTTTTTATTCCTTTTGTTTTAGAAAAAGCAGTAAGACAGAAGTTTGAATATAAATCAGCACTGGGAAGAAAATAAAAGCCATTCATCATGAAACTATCCAGACCAAGAGTCATTGCTTATTATTTAACTTTACTTATGAAGATGGAATGCACCGGTGTTGCCCACACCAGCATTCTGGCTCACACTGTCAAGTAAACAGATACCTTACTTACACTTTCATCTTGTGAATTTGGTTGGGGGGAGTCCATCCTGCTGATCCAAATCAGCTCAGAGCATTAGCAAGAGTTAATTAGTAGAGTTTGTGGATCCATCAAACATGAGAGAACAGCTGAGTAATGCCATCAGGTGACCCTCTGTCAGGTCAGCCAGCCAAAGTCTTCCCTAGAAATGCGTGCGTGCATGCGTGTGTGTGTGTGTAATCACTTTCACCTTCACCATACAACAGGTAATCTAGCTGCCAGTCTTCATATTTTCTACTGCTTACCTTCTTTCCTACTTTTGTAAAAGAAAATTCAATGCCTATGTAATTATTACCTCCTCCGTTAAGAAGGTGACTAACTCTGAGGCCATGGTGATTGTTCCTTTGACTTCCTTCAGCATGTATTTTGATCCTCAAATGCTGTTATTACTCTCTTGCTTACAAACATTTTGTCTCATGTTTTGCTTCCCAGATGGTCTAGAAGCTCCTTAAGAAGCAGTTTCTTTTGTATTCCTTAAAAAGCCTTCCCTGAAACTTTGTAGGCAAAATATTCGTGTTTAGTGCATGGGGAAAAGGAAAGGAAGGAGGGAAGGAAGGAAGGGAGTGGGGGAGGGAAGAAAAGGAAAGAAGGAAGAGAAGAAAGGAAATATTCAGCTTCAACATGTTAGACTTGCCTTATTTTTTGTGATATATGTTTTGGGGGCTACAAAGATGATTAAAACATAATTCCTATTTTCTCAGAATTTGAAATCTCCTTAAGCGACAAAGTTATTACTAAAGTCATAAAGTCTTAAGTTAAAAAAAAGATACAAAATGACATTGGGGCCAGAGACCAGAGCTAAAATACTGGGAGAATAAAGGAAAGCATTATGAGAGAGGGGGCTTCTGAAATTGGCAAGTGAAGGAACAACACAACGCAAAAAATAGTCGAGAATTTTTTGTCTATATTCAAAGATAAAGGAAGGCATTCCAAAGGAATACAGTGCAAATACGGAATGAATGAGTGAACTGAGTGAACTGATAAATAAAGGAATGAATCAAAAAATCCAATCACCAAGCCAGCCAGCAAGGAACCTTCTGTATATACATATATACATTTAAGAGATGTGACAGGCTGGATATGTAGAGTTGAAACCTGGAGGAAAAGCTGCAGATTTATGGTCTTGAATGTTGTGAATGGCGACTCCTAAACGTAAGCCCAGCACATCCTGCCCAGGTGATTGTCCCCAAGATACTCTCCAATGACTTATAATTACTTTGGCTCCTCTCTCTTCCCACTACCACTTAGTAGTAAGAATCAAAGTCAGAAAGCTAAAATGATTTTATTATATTTATATACAACTCCTAAAAATATACTATGTAAAATGAGCTAAAGCTCAATTTAAATGGTAATTTACCCTTTTTTCCCCATAAAACAATCTCAACTCCATGACCATTCCCCCAATTTTTCTTGTCCTTTAAAAACAAAACTCTCATTTTTTCTCTAAACATATAGAACCACAACTTGGGTGCAGTATTTTAATACTATTAAAATAGAATTTTTTAAGTGAAGAATGGGTAGAGGAATAGCTCAATTGCCCAACTAGTTAATAAACTAATCTTTTTCCTTAATTAACTGCTATGACATAATTATATAGTTGTGAATATAAGGAGAAAATGACTTCTTATTTGTAACAATCTTAAGACGATGCTATTAAAGTGGTAGTGGAGATCTATTTTTATTGACTTAGAAGAAGTCTAAGATATGGTATAGAGTGTGAAACCAAATATGATATGATTCCATGACAAAAATGTGTGTATGTGGGGGTGCTTACATTGATGTCTGGAATATTAAGAGTTATAGATGATTCTAGCTTCCTTTTTTATACTCTTATCGAATGTTTAAAATCTTCCAAATGAGCTGGTCTTTAATGGGGGAAGAGAAACGTCAACTATACCAGCTGTATATATACTATAAAAATATAAGAACTTTTATTTCTTCAAAATACGTGTATATTGCAATGAACTATTATTCAGCCATAAAAGGAAAAGAAATTCTGCCACTTGCAATAACATGGATGGATCTAGAGGGCATTATGCTCAGTGAAATAAGCCAGGCAGAGAAAGACAAATACTGTATGATTTCACTTACTTGTAGAAAATAAAAAAAAAAAGAAAACAGAAGGAACAAAACAGCAGTAGACTCATAGACATGGAGAAGTGACTAGTGGTTACCAAGGGGGAGGGGGTTGGGGCGTGTAGGGGGAAGACTGAGGGGGATAAAGGGGCACAATAATTTGCAATCACAATAATCACAATATAAGTTGGTCATGGGGACGGTAGTACAGTGTGGATATAGTCAATGATTTTGTAACCTCTTTCTACATTGATAGATAGTAACTGCACTTGGGGAGGAGGTAAGGATTGAACAATATGGGTAACTATTGAACCACTGTGTTGTATGTTTGAAACCAATATAAGGTGGTATATCAATGACACTTCAATAAAAAAATGTGTGTATTGTATATTTGAAATATTTCATAACTTAAAAGAAAGAAACTGAAAAGAAAAAAATAGGATGACTTATACATGCATAGAAAAAATGAGGTAAAGGTAATATATGTTAAAAATGGTTATATCTGCCTCTTCATTTTTCTATTTCCCTAATATTTCACAAGGAACACATTTTGCTTTTATAAATGCTCTGTGGCTAAATTTAAAACCCAGTAAATTTGTGGATTTTTAAAAATACAGGACTTTTATTTAAAGGGGAAAATTTTAACTTTTCAAGTCAGAATTTTTCAGGAAGTTTTTCTGATCACTGCAAGTAAATTGCCAAATAAACTCTTAAAACAATTTTTGAAGTTATTTAACATTAATGCAGTTTTCTTCTTGTAGTTGTTCTATTTGGGGTTCCTTTAATCTGATGTTAAAGGAACACATTTTAATTTCTAAAATGGTAATAATATTTAATTCATATTTGTATAATAAATAGAATCCTGGGAAGAATAATATTGGTATCTATTCAATTACAGGCTGAAAGAAATGGAAGGATCCATGAGGGAAATTCTGGCCTCACCACCAATCATCAAGGAAGTAAACAGCCAAACCATCTACACAAAGACTCCACGATTGCCCTCAGCAACAGGCAAGACCTGAAGACCACCCACAGTGTTCTCATTTTATCCACCTCCACTTCAATTAAGTCCATTTGGTCCTCAATGAACAGAAGAAATAATTAGTCTTAACTATCCTTAGTAAAAACTTTTGACACACTTGAAAATGGTAAATAACCTTTTTTATTTTCTTTCCTTAGAGACCTAATTTTATATCATTTTTGTCATTTACCATTGTCTTAAAAGAAACCCAAAAGTTCCTAGTAGCGTCAGTTTGTTTTCCATATACCTGAATAGCAGCTCCGTTTTCCACCCTTATGTGAGGAACTTTTCCTTCTGTAAAGTCGTCCCGACCCCATTGTTGTTGAGATGTTTTCCTCTCTACCTTTGAGGTTCTTGAGGGCTTAGAACCAAAAAGAATTTTAAAAATTAACTTTAAGATATAATATGCTTGTTGACAAAGTCAGAGCCCTAATTTAGATAATCTGACAACTCTTTAACGTACACCATGACCATGATATTTATGGTGTATAAGATAATTTACCTTTTTTTTTTTTTCAAATTCTAAGCCCTATATGACTCATTGGCTCATTAGGCTAAAAGATACAATAAAAAAACATTTAATCTGGATCTAGGCAAGTCTATATGACAAACTGTATAGCAAATATATCAGAATTTACCTGAAATTCTTTAAAAATCACAAGAGAAGGCAACTTCACAGCTTTTTCAATCTCCCTTATTTCAAAACATAAAAATCATCTCTGATAAGTTATACATAGAAAAATTATTGACCAGACACTCACAAAATGTCTTGAATGAAAATAACATGATAACAACTCATTCAAAGATGCCTATAAGGCAATAACTATACCATAATACAAATCAGAAATAAAAGTTTAGGGTGAAAATTTGAAAAAGGTACAACATTGAGGGCTGAGAGCCTAATTTTCCTTAAACTTACTGCTCTTTGTCTCCAAAGCTGTGCTATGTGAACAACAATCTTCCACACTGCCTCCTCTCTTTAAATTGAATACACCTAAACCAATCCCACCACCTAGTCTAGGATTATTTGTAACTAATGCAAATCAATTTTACAAAGTACATTTGATATTCCATCTAGATAACCAGGAATTGTCTTAAATTATAAGCACCCTCTATTTAATCGCAACCATAAATTCCATTCTGCATCAGTTGACAAAAGTGCCCCAAAATTCAGATTTAATTCAACTTGAAAATCAGTTCATTTCTGTATAAAACATTAAAGAAAAGAAGCTGGAATAACATTTTGAATTATTCATGGCCCTGGGAAATAATTAATTTAGGCAGTGGTTGGAAGTATTGTAAAAGAAATTACTAACTTTGCTCACCTCTTACGTAAGAAGAAATGTTCCTTTAATAAGTAAGAAGGCAATGAGTTAGTTGACAAGGGCCCATGATATATGGTGAAGCAAGGGATGGGATTAGGGGATGGGATGTCAACTTGTGTTGAGATACAGAATCTTTGATAGTTACCGAATCTTTTCCAGAGAAACTATCTTTACTGGTTTGGTTTTCTTTTATTTTCTCTGGTGAAACTGTACATTCTGAACTACCAGTGCTTGATGTCTGTGACATTTCCACGACCACCGGAGAAAGCCTTGGTCTGCAGGAACATACACAAAGTACATCTTTCTGAGAAGTAGATGAACAGTTGGCACATTTTGTGGATATTTTACCAAAGCCACTGTTAGCCATTTGCTTAACTCTGCAACAAAAGCAACTTGAAAGAAAGATATTTCCACTGTTTGAGGAATAAAAAAAACCCAAAAAGGATGGCAAAAACAATAACTTCTAACTGGTGAGGTCCTTAGGTCATTGATGCATTAGACTTATATTCACACATGAGAGCTGCAGAAAGAAAAGAAATCACCATTTAGAAAATTCTTTAACTTATCACTCTCCTAGAAATAAGAGAAAAACTAGCAACTAGCACCAAAAGCATCCTGCCTATACATTAAAAGTTAATATATATAACAAAATTAGGAAATATTTCTTAAAAAAAACAATGGATTCTCACCTTTCAAAATGTATTTCTTAAACTCCATACATTTTATTTACTTAACAATCAAAAGAATCACACCCTCTGTTCAGAACTATAAAACTGCTGAAAAGTATGGTCTAATGAAATCAATTTGGTGAGTTAATACCAATTTTCTAAATAAAATAGAATAGAATAGATAATATAAGAGTATTCTGGGGAAAGGCTTAAAAATGGCAGCATGAGAAGTGAGACAGAAACCTCCTCCCAAAACCACACATAATACGAAAACATAGCAAATACAACTAATCCTCAAAGAGCAACCAGAAAAAAGACTATAACAGATTGCCTACATCTGGAGAAAAGACCACTTATGGAAAAGGGTAAAATGATCTGGCAGAACCCAAGCCCTTCCCCCACCCCAGATCACTGGCAGAAGGAAGAAAAAGGGAGCACAGAGAGGGTGGAAGCCTAGGACTGCTGAACACCCAGCACTGGAGATGTGCTCTGGGAACATGAACCCACATGACATAGTTTTCTGGAGATTAGTGGGGCTGGAAAGCAAAAACAGTCAGAATAGTCAGAGAGACTGAGATTCCAGCCACTTGTGGAGAACAGATACCCACAACCAGCCACTCCAGGGGAAAAGAAAGGTGGGCACTTTGAAAGACTTCCCAACAGCAAAAGGGCTGCTAAATGGGCAAGGATTACATAGAGCTTGCTGAACACAAGAAAAGATAGGTGGGCAAAACCATTCCAGCACACTCAGCCAAGCAGATTGGGAGCTATCAGGAGGTTCAAGTGCCCCATCCCCCCAGGTGGCACACCAAGGTACTGCACTGTGATACACAGCCTGCTACTCCTTCCTCCCAGCCAGCATCACTTTGCAAAGGTGCTATACCTACCACTGAACCAGGCCAGCCAGAGGGAGGCCCTTCCTATAGCAGCTACAGAGGCATAATGCAGAGGTTCCTCCCTGCACGCTCAGCCCACTGGCCCAGGCACTGCAGTTGGGAAGCAGGAAAGAGTTCTTTCCTCCTGGCAGGCAGTGGTGCCACTCAACTGCAACCCCCACGATCACTCCAGGTACTGGGCAGCTCCAGAGAGTAGAGATTCTGGGCACTAGAGGGCACCACTTCTCAAAGTTATTATACCAGTAATTATTACAAATATGAAACAGCAAAAGAACCTGCTACAAACCAAAATCCCACAAACAACAGAAAGAGGACCAACCAAAACAGAAATCACCAAACTTGCTAATAAAAATTTCAAAATAAAAATCATAAAAATGCTTACAGAGCTACAGAAAAATATTCAAGTCCTTAGCGAGGACTTCAAGAAAGAGATAGAAACTTTGAAAAATACAGTATCTGAAATGAAACAGACAATGGAGGCCTTTAAAAGCAGATTAGATAATGTAGAGAAGACAGTAAATGAATAGAAATTAGAGAAGATGAATACAAAGAAGCTTTTAAATATAAAAAAGGATCTCTAGGAATGGAAGAATATTAAGATAACTGTGTGACCAAGCCAAATGGAACAATATTCACATTATAGGGGTACCAGAAGATGAAGAGAGAGAAAAGAGGATAGAAACTGTCTATGGAGAAATAATTGCTCAAAACTTCCCCAATCTGGGGAAGAAAACAGTCTCTCAGGCCACAGAAGTACACAGATCTCCCAAGAAAGGAACCCAAGGAGGACAACACCAAGACATATTATAAGTAAAATGGCAAAGATGAAGGACAAGAACAGAGTATTAAAAGCATCCAGAGAGAGAAAAAAGATCATGTACAAAGGAAAACCATCAGACTTCTCAGCAGAAACCTTACAGGCCAGAAGGGAGTGACATGATATATTCAATGCAATGAAACAGAAGAGCCTTGAACCAAGAATATTCTACCCGGCAAGATTATCATTTCAATTTGAAGCAGGGATTAAGCAATTTCCAAATAAGCAAAAGTTGAGGGAATTTACTTCCCAAAAACCATCTCTACAGTGTACTTTTGAAGCACTGCTATAGATGTAAGTGCTCCTAAGGCTAAATAGCTGTCATGTGAGAAAATAAAACAAGCAAAGGAAGCAGACCAATTAATCACTATGCAAATGCAAAATTAAATGAATTACCTCTAAAGTCAGTCAAGGGATACACAAAGAATACAGAATATGACACCTAATTTACAAAGAGTGAAGGAGGAAGAAAAAGAAGGGAGAAAAAAGAAACCTTTATATTGTGTTTTAAATAACACATTAACTGAGTTAAGTTAGACTGTTAGATAGTAAAGAAGCTACTCTTGGCAATAAGTACATATACATCAATAATAATCTTAAATGTAAATAGTCTGAATGCACCAATCAAAAGACACAGAGTCATGGAATGGATAAAAAAAAACAAGACCCATCTATATGCTGCCTAGAAGAGAATCACTTCAAACCCAAAGATATACAGAGACTAAAAGTGAAGGGATGGAAAAAGATATTTCATGCAACTAATAAGGAGAAAAAAGCAGGAGTTGTGTACTTGTATCAGACAAAATAGACTTCAAAACAAAGAAAGTAACAAGAGACAAAGAAGGACATTACATAGTGACAAAGGGGTCAGTCCAATAAGAGGATATAACCATTATAAATATCTATGCACCCAACACAGGATCACCTACATATGTGAAACAAATACTAACAGAATTAAAGGGGAAAATAGAATGCAATGCATTCATTTTGGGAGACTTCAACACACCATTCACCCACAAAGGACAGATCAACCAGACAGAAAATAAGTAAAGAGACAGAGGCACTGAATAACACATTAGAACAGATGGACCTAACAGACATCTACAGAACACTCCACCCAAAAGCAGCAGGGTACACATTCCTCTCAATGCACATGGAACATTTTAAAGAATAAATCATATACTAGGCCACAAAAATAGCCTCAGTAAATTCAGAAGGATTGAAATTGTACCAACCAGCTTCTCAGATCACAAAGGCATGAAGCTACAAATAAGTTATGCAAAGAAAACAAAAAAGCCCACAAACACATGGAGGGTTAACAACATGCTCCTAAATAATCAATGTGTCAGTAGCCAAATAAATCAGAGATCAAGCTATATATGGAGACAAATGAAAACAATAACAACACTACAAAATCTTTGGGAAGCAGTAAAGGCTGTGCTAAGAGGGAAGTATATTACATTACAGGCTTAACTTAAGAAAGAAGAACAATCCCAAACAAACAGTCTAAACTCACAACTAGAAAAAGAACAACAAATAAGGCCCAAAGTCAGTAGAAGGAGGGACATAATAAAGATTAGAGCAGAAATTTAAAAAAATCAAGAAGAAAAAACAATAGAAAGAATCAATGAAACCTGAAGCTGGCTCTTTAAAAAAATAAACAAAATAAGATAAACCCCTAGCCAGACTTATCAAGAAAAAAAGAGAGTCTACACACAAACAGAATCAGAAAAGAGAAAGGAAACATTACTACAGATACCACAGAAATACAAAGAATTATCACAGAATACTATGAAAAATTATATGCTCACAAACTGGATAACCTGGAAGAAATGGACAACTTCCTAGAAAAATACAACCTTCCAAGACTGACCAAAAAGAAAATGTGAACAGACCAATTACCAGCAATGAAATTGCATCAGTAATCAAAAAACTACGCAAGAACAAAACTCCTGGACCAGATGGCTTCACCGCTGAATTTTATCAAACATTTAGAGAAGACCTAATACCCATTCTCCTTAAAGTTTTCCAAAAAGTAGAAGAGGAGGGAATACTTCCAAACTTATTTTATGAGGCCAGCATCCCTAATACCAAAATCAAGCAAAGACACACACAAGAAGAAAACTACAGACCAACATTCCTGATGAACAGATGCAAAAATACTCAACAAAATATTAGCAAATCAAATTCAAAAATAAATAAAAAAGATCATACATCATGATCAAATAAGATTTACTCCAGGGATGCAAGGATGGTACAGTATTCTAAAATTCATCAACATCATCCACCAAACCAACAAAAAGGACAAAAATTACATGATCATCTCAATAGGTGCTAAAAAAGCATTTGACAAAATTCAACATCCATTCATGATAAAAACTCTCAACAAAATGGGTATAGAGGGCATGTACCTCAACACAATAAAGGCTATATATGACAAACCCACAGCCAACATCATACATAGCAGCTGAAGGTTTTTTCTTTAAGATCAGACACAAGACAAAAATGCCCACTCTCCCTGCTTGTATTCAACATAGTACTGGAGGTCCTAGCCATGGCAATCAGACAACACAAAGTAATAAAAGGCATCTGGACTGGTAAGGAAGAAGTGAAACTGTCACTCTTTGCAGATGACATGATATTGTACATTAAAAACCCTAAATAATCTACCCCAAAATTATTAGAGTTATTAACTCAATTCAGCAAAGTTGCAGGATACAAAATTAATACACAGAAATCTGTTGCATTCCTATATACTAATTATGAACTAGCAGAAAGAGGAATCAGGAAAACAATTCAACATACAATTGTATCAAAAAGAATAAAATACCTGAAAATTAAGACCTATACCAAGATACTCATGAGAGAAATTAAAGAAGATACCAATAAATGGAAATACATCCCATCCTCATGGATAGGAAGAATTAACACTGTCAAAATGGCCATCCTGCCTAAAGCAATCTACAGATTCAATGCAATTCCTATCAAAATACCAGCAGCATTCTTCAATGAATTAGAAAAAATAGTTCAAAAATTCATATGAAACCAAAAAAGACCCCAAATAGCCAAAGACATCTTGAGAAGGAAGAATAAAGCTGGGGAGATTATGCTCTCCAACTTCAAGCTCTACCACAAAGCC